TGTTGACTGAATATCTATTCTTTCTTTCAGTACCCAAGTAGTTCATCTGGACCAAGTGACCTGAATTCATTAAGGACAGCAAGTGCTCTTCTAATATCTCCTTTCTTATCTTAGGTATCAATCTCTACTATTAACCATTTCCGTTCTGACTTTTGAGCCCAAAGAGCATACTTCTTGGCAGAGAAATGAAGAATTGCATGACACTGACTTCTCTCACTGTTAGTTAGAATTAAGCCCAAGCAGTAGTGCTAGCTCTCCTCTTTCCCCAAAACAGCTCTCCAACCCAGCCTGTTATAGTGTTTCCTTAGCTTTTGTCCCCAACCTCAGCTCAGTCTACATTTTGGTGCTCCTAACACCATTCTTACACCACCATGCACACTTTATTCATCCTCCATCACCTGCCTTGGCTTCCATCTTTTGTTCATACCTTCTTAAAGTCTAGGTTGGTTGGTGTGCTCTCTACACAATCATATCAGTTTCCTGGTTTTCTACATCAAAGCAATTCTCTATTCTCAAAATGTCATTGAACGAGAGCTCACAATCACTCTGTCCATGACAGCCTACCTACCCTTCCTCTGAACCCTCTGAAATCTACTTTATCAAAACCAGAGGATGTCGGACTCTGCCCAGCTTTCTTCTCCTTTACCATAAAATCTAGAAGGGAGCTGTCACATCCTCCAAGGTTTCCATCATTCCACCCCAGCAACCCTGTTGGAATCAGATAGAGAACAGAATGTTTGCTTGTTGATTCTTCCACCTTTTGAAGGATGAAATTATCTTCAAGGCATTTCAAGAAAATATTTATTTGCTTTGCTTGAGAGAGAGAGAACTTGAATAGATTTCTGAAGAACTGAAATCTTTAGTTGCTACCATAGTATGCCTCTGTGGCTTGTGCCATTTCCCAAACTCATATATTTCCTTTTCGGTCCAGGTAGCCTGTACTATGCTCAAATGACAAAACTCCTTCTGTTTCTCTTTTCATCTTCACAAACCATGCGTCTCCCTTCTCCCTCACCCCCACTTATAGTCGCTGGATTGCCTCATACAAGTATACAACATGAGAGAGAGTGCATGGATTGTACAAAACAAAAGTGTAGGTTCAACTCCCTTCTAAATGACCTGGATTAAGATGAAGATGACTTCTGACCTTGTCTGACCTTGTCTTCTCCCTCTCTCCCTTAGTTATCACTTTCATTTCCACAGCTTCAAATACCACCTTCTATGAACATGATTTGCTCCAGACCCACATCTTAAAAGCAGTTGGAAATCTCCATAGGAATGCACTTCAACATCTCAAACCCCAAATATCTAAAACTTTAGCTTCTTTTCTCTCCCCTAAACCGACTTGTCCTTTAACTTCACCCGTGTTCAAAATCTCAGTGGGAACGTTGGTTGTGACAAAGAAGAACGAGGAAAAGACTCCAGTTACTGAGTCCTGGACATTCAACCTCTGTAGCAGCTTTCATATCCACCACCTCCTTTTCATTCCCAAGGTCATTACCATTACATGTTCTACTCCAGTGCTAAATCCCATAATCCATCTGGTCTACTACAGATGTCACCTTCTACATTTTGCTTCTACTCTCCCGCTTCATGCTACTCCCAAATTTCTCCTCCTCAGGCATCTGGTCACACCACTTCTCAGGGGCCTCCTACTGCCCACTGAGCAAAATTCTAAGCTCTCTGCCTCACATCCATAACACCCACCCTTCCTTTCCAGCTTTCTCTTGCACTTCAGCCAAACTCCCTCAAACATTCCCTTTACTGACCCTATTTCTTACACTCTAAATATCATCTGTTGCCTGTTGATTCCAACCCATCATTTAAAGCCCAGCTCAGATGGCAGGCACCTCCTCCAAATAAGTCCCCTCATACCTCGTGGAGGTCATTCTGCTTTTGCACTTACTATTGAGAGGCAGGGAGGGGTGCTGAGGGTAGTGGAAAGAAGGCTGAACCTTTTCTACTTCTTAGCTATGTGACTGTGGGCAAGTCATTCTTCCCCTTTGGCACCTTCATTACTTCATCTGTAAAAGAGGATAGGGATAGAGGCCTGGACTTGTGATTTCACTGTACATGGAACTCCCAGAAAAGGAAACTCCTTCTATAGGTGTTAGACTTAGAGAATTGCCTAGAGCACTGAGAGATTAAGAAACTTGTCCAGGTCAGTAGCCAATATATGTCCAAGGCAAAACCTGACATCCACTGGCCTCCATCTTGTTCCATCTATAAAATGGTTAAAATAATATATGAAGTACAGTAACTATCTCACAGAGTTGTCTTAAAGATCAAATAAAATAATGCAGGTAAAATACCTTTAAAAACTTAGAGCATCATATCACTTTTTATATATAGTTTAAAAATAACATGATATTATGTATTATGGTTATCCATGCTTATGCATTAGTCTCTACAAGCACATATGCTCCACAAAGACAGAAACAGTGTTTTATCAAAGCTTGGTTATCTCTTCAATCGCCTAACAGTGTTCTGTACATAGAAGATATTTAATACATGTTTGTTCGACTGAATTATTTCCCTTAGTATGTATCTAGGATGAAGACTACCCCGTAGAATGAGACTGGGAACAAACAGGTGCTAACCAAGCAGGTGTTAACTGTTCTAATGCAAAGCAACATTTGAGCCAGCTCATCATCTGCCTATCCTGCCTCTGTTAATATTCAAGTACTGGCAAGGTGCTTGAAAGGTCACCTAATCAATTCTCCTGCTTTCAGGCACAGATGACACCGTGGTGAAAACAAAATAGCACCCTAATCTGATGATGAGAATTAAAAGCTACAATGATCCACACTCATCATAACAATTCATATGTGAATATTGATTTATAGTTTTTACAAAGTACTTCTCAGTACCTAAAGGAAGAAGATAATGCTACTAAAAGCACGAATGTTACATATTCATTCATCCAGCCAACCAGATGCCATGGAAAGGCAGTCCTCTGTGACACCAAACACTGAATGTGCCTTGCTTACTTATTACCTGTGTGATCTTGGATAAGTTACTTCCCTTTCTGGGACCTGCTTCCTCATCTAAAAAGTAAGGGAATATGACTAGATGGTCTCTAGAGTTGCTTCCTACCTGTAAATCCTACAATCAGCTAAAATTTGCAGAACAGTTGTGGGAGGCACAGCTAGGTACCAATGAGGGCAAACAGACAATCCTGTAAAGTGGTTGCATTTACTCCAATTCACAATATTTGGAGGTATAACTGTATAACCATTGATTCCAGCCTAGAGGCAGCGAGGTGGCAGAGTGGATGGAGACCTAAATCTGGGGTAAGAAGAGTTCTGGCCTATGACAATTACAAGTCACTTAAATATTGCCTGCCTCAGTTCCCTCAACTGTAAAATGGGATAAGAGTAACTTCCTCCCAGGGTTGTTGTGAGGCTCAAAGGAGATAATAACTGTAAAACACTTAGCACAGTGCTGACACATACTGGGTGTTTAATAAATGCTTACTCCTGTTTGTCCATCCCCTCACCACCACGATGTAAATATGTAAGGTGAATGATCAAGTCACAGGACGCCTTATTCACACTAATCAGGAATTAAGACATGGAACACAATATATCAGAATATCAGAGAATATCGCAGGCTGAGGCCCAGAGAGGCAAAGTGCCTTGTCTAATGATAATCTTATTTCTATTAACTTGTCTAACAAGTTAATAACATATATTATTTATGTTGAGATTTCAGGGTTTCAAAGCAAATCAAATCTACCTATCCTGCCCCAGTCTCTCTGCTGACCTCCAATTTCACATCTCCAATTGCCTTTCAGACATCTCGAACTAGATGATCAGTAGACAGCTTAAACTCAATGTATCCACAACTGAACTTTGCTATCTCCCTCCCTAAATCCTCCCCCTCCTACCTTCCCTACTACCATAGAGGACAACCTCATTCTCCCAGGCCCCCAGGTATACAACACTAGGAGTTGTGTGCAACCTAGGACTGTTGCCGAGGCTTGTCAAGTTCATCTTTACCAACCCTTCTCTCCTCTGACACTGCCACCACTCTGGTGCAGCCCTCATCACCTCACAGCTGGACTACTGCAATAGCTGCTGGTGGGTTCGCCTGCTTCAAGTCTCTCCCTACTCCAATCCATCCTCCATTCTGCCATTGAAGTGATTTTCCTAAAGCACAGGTCTGATAATGTCAACTCTCCCTCCCCCACCACCCCTATAAACTCCTCTGACTTCCTATTGCTTCTAGGAGCAAATACAAAATGCTCTGTTGGCATTCAAAATCCTTCATAACCTAGACCCCTCCTACCTTACCAATCTTCTTACACTTTACTCCATGACAAATACTCCTCAATCCCATGACACTAGCTAGCTTCCTGGCTGTTTCAAGAACACACTCCGTCTCTTGGCTCTGGGTATTTTCTCTGGCTGTTTTCCATGCCCAGAAGGCTCTCCTCTGATTTCACCTACTGACCTCTTTGGTTTCCTCTAAGTCCCAACTAAAATCTTACCACCTACAGGTAGCCTTCCTCAACCCTTCTTAATTCTAGTGCCTTCCCTCTGTCAATTATCTCCTATTTAACCTGTATATAGCTTACTTTGTCTAGTATTTCTTTGCATGTTGTCCCCTCCAACAGACTGCAAGCTCCTTGAGGGCAAGGATTGCCCTTTTTTATTTTTTTTTTCCTATCCCCAGCACTTAGCAACTGACATACAGTAGGAACTTAATAAATGTATACTGATTAACTGACCTTCATAACATCTCTGTCTGGTAGACATTACTAATTATTACTGTCCCCATTATACAGTTTTAAGGGGTTATGTACCTTGCTCAACAGCAGTCTCTGAAGCCTGAGAGTCCAAAGCTGGTTTCCTGATGGCAAGTGCAGGCCCCTCACTCCTCGATCTGCCAATACTCCAGAGTCTGAGCTAATAGAAGGCTGATTCATATGGCAGAAAGTCTTCCTGATCAATTAGGAGTCACCAGGCCTGGATATGAAATCCAAGTTATGTACTTACCACTCATGTGATGTCAGGGAACTCACGGATGCCTTCTGCACCAGTTTGCTCAATTGTGAAATAAAGGAGTTTGTCAGGGTAATTTGCAGACCTAACAGTCTATGGTTCTCTCTAAAATTCTCCTGATTTCCCAAGCCTTCCAGTCCTAAGACACGGGCTCTCCTCCTACAAGGGCCACCCTCCCTGGGCTGTCTCGGTTTCTGCATCCCAAAGAAGGCGTTAAGATGCACTCGGCAGGGCTTTTAACCTGGGATCCTTGAAATTTAAAAATCTTCCTCACTGTATTTTTGCATCACTGGTTTCCTTTGTAATCATACGCATTTTATTGCATGCATTTAAAAAGGCAGCTTTAGCACCCAGGGCCTGGCACATAGTAGGCTCTTGATAAATGCTTGTCGACCTTGACTTGACTAGACAACACCCCTGAGAGAGGGGGGGTCCCTAGGCTTCGCCAGGCTGCCTGAGGGGTCCAGTCATCCAAGGAGGTTAGGAGCCCTGGCGCCGGGGGTCTCCACAGTCCCACCGGGCTGGGTGGGGCCTGAACAGGGAGGGTTTCCCCACTTCCCAGCCCTCTCAGGAGGGCCCCCCCCCGAAGAAGGGCGTTTATGAGGAGGGGTCATATCTAATGGGCATCAGCTCCGGAGAAGCTCCAATATAGCTGGGGGTGGTGCTGGGCAGGGGGCGGGGGGGACGGACCCAGCCCCTCCCCCTCCACGAGCGGCTCTAGGCCTCCGCAGGCGCTGACTCACCGCCCTGCCCCTCCTCCCCCCCCCCCGTCCGGAGTCCTGGGCCCCCACCCCCACTCCTCCTACCTGCCTCTCAGGCAGCTGCCCGAAGCAGTCACAGACCGGACCTGTCGCGACAGAACCTCAGAGGTCGCGATGGGAGGGGGAGCGGGGCAGCCGGGCCTCCTTCCTCTCTCCAGGCCTGGGCCCGCCGCCGCCGCCGCCGCGTCCTCGCCTCCTCCTGTGAGGCCGGAGCCGGAGCAGGAGCCGGGGCGGGCCCAGGTTGGGCCGGGTGGGGGCAGCCTCGGCTCCCGAGGGACCCGAGGAGCCGTGGAAGGATCAGCCGGGGCAGGGAGGTCACCGAGGGTTACTGGGGTCATTTAGGGAGGAGCCGTGACACGGGGTCATTTGGGAAAGGGGCGTGTCTGGGGGGGCTCATTTTGGGGAGATGAGTCTTTTAAAGGGAGGGGAGCGTGTCCTGAGGGTCATTTGGGAAAGGGGAGTGTCTCAGGGGGTAATTTAAGGATGGGGCTAAGGGGAGTGGGGGGGGAGGGGTCGTTCATGGTGGGGGCATGTCATGAGGGTCATGGGGGAGGGGATGTGTCTCTGGAGGTCATTTAGGGAGAGGGTGTGTCATGAGAGCTATTTGGGAAAGGGGCATGTCTTGGGGGGGGTCAGTTGGAGAGGTCACTATGACTGGAGTGGGGAAGGATCTCTAGAGAACCTGAGACTGGGGAGATCATTATTTTGGAAAGGTTCTTTTGTTCTCCAGAAGCTATCTATCCCAGCTATACCTTTATATAAAGGAACTTCAACATATATGTTAATGCTTCCTCCCATACTCTGGTCTTTCAGTGCCTAATTATCTTCAACTCCCAGTCACAGTCAGATAATCATATCCTTGATCTTGCCATTACTTATAAATGTTCCATTTCCAGTCATCTCTCTCCATGCCTTACTTCTCCCAAACCTTAGCTTTATCCTCATTTTAATCTTCAATCCCTCCACTCCTCAGTCCTCTCCCAGGCCTCCTCTGGCTTCACTTTCCTCCCTTTCTAGTCTCAACTTTGTAATTAACGAGTTCAATGTTATATACACTGTCCCCTACTCCCAAATCTCTTTCCCCCTCATCTTATCCATTCTCAAGCCTTGCCAAACCTCAACCTTAGTTTACTCCTACCATCTATCTCCTCTGTAGAAGGGTCTTGAAAGGAATCATGTAACCAGAGCCTGCTAGGTCCACTACAGATTTATGTTATCTAATGTCAGCTGGGCCCCCAGCAGCTAGGCAATCCTTTTACATATCTCTAATTTATATCAAGGGGCAGCTAGGTGGTTTAGTGGATAGAACACTGGGCTTAGAATCAGGAAGCCTCATCTTCATGAGTTTAAATTCAGCCTCAGGCACATACTAGCTGTGTGATCCTGGGCAAGTCCTTTAACACTTTGCCTCAGTTCCTCATTTGTAAAATGAGCTGAGGGGCAGCTAGGTGGCGCAGTGGATAGAGCATTGGCCCTGAAGTCAGGACCTGACTTCAAGTCAGGCCTCAGACCAAACACTTGACACTTACTAGCTGTGTGACCCTGGGCAAGTCACTTAACTCTAATTGCCTAAAAAAAAAAAAACACCAAACACCATAAACCTAAAAATAAAATGAGCTGGAGAAGTAAATGGCAAACCATGCCAGTATCTTCACCAAGAAAACCTCAAAATGGGGTCATGAAGAGTCAGACATGACTAAAACAACTAAACAACAAAAATTTATATTTCCCTCTCTCTCACTATCCATAGATGTTGTTTCAAACCTATTCTTAGCTACGCAAATATCCCATGCCTCTCCCTTTCCCCACTTTCTCAGCTGAGGCCCTCACCTCATACTTTACTGAAAAAATAAAGGCCATTTGCTGTGAGCTACTTTTCTTCTCTAGAATTTAAAAGCCCTTAACATCTCTGTTCTCTTCTCTGTTACTCCAGTATCTGATGAACTGACCAGCTCTTCTCAAGACCAAGGCCCTCTGCATGTATTCTTGATTCTATCACCTTCCATCTCTTCTTGAAGATTGCCACCATAATCATCCTCTTTTTCTCTATAATCTTTGTCTACTGGTTCCTTCCCTGAGACCTACAAATCTATCCAGGTCTCTGCTTTAAAAAACTCTTCATTTGTCTTCCCCATTCCCCCAAGCTATCATCTACTATCTCTCCTACTACCAGATTCCTAGAAAAAGCTATCTACAGTCATTGCCTCTACTTCCTTTTATCTCATTCATTTCTCAATTCTGCAATATGACTTCTGACTCCATCATTTTCCTCTGATTTTTAATATTTCTTCTTTTGTGCTTATTTTAGGTTTATTTGTTGGTTTCCTAATTTCTTAAATGCATATTCAATTCATTAATCCTCTCTTTTTCTATTTTGTTAATATGTATTTTTAAGAATATGATTTTTCACCTGAGAACTACTTTTCTGGCATCCCAACAATTTTGGTACGTTGTTTCATCAGTATCGTTTTCTTTAATATAGTTCCATATGGTGGTGAGAAATATGTATATTCTTTCTGCAGTAACATTTAGATGTTATAAGTCCCTTAACTATAGTTTCTCAGCAATTTGTTTAGTTCCATATTTTTTATCTTTCATTAGATTTATCCGAAACTGATAGAGGGATATTGAAGTCTCCTGCACCATTGTGTTAGTCTCTGTGTCTTCTTATAACTCAGTTAATGTTTCCTTTATAAATTTGGATGCTAAGACATTTGGAGTATATAGGTTTATTTCTGATATTGGTTTGTTGTCTATGGTTCCTTTCAGCGTAATGTAATTTCCTTGTTTATCCTCTTTTATTTTTTTGAATGTTTGATTTTGCTTTGTCAGAAAGCATGATTTCAACTCCTTTTTTGGATTCACATGATACATAGTAAAAAGAAATTTTTTTTTCCATTCCCTTAGTTTTATTTTGAGTATATCTTGACTTTTTAAATGTGTTGCTTATAAATAAGAGATTTATAGGGTTTTGTTTTCTTATCTAATCTGTCACTGTTTCATTTTATTGGATTTTTTAATCTATTCACATTAAAGTTATGAGAGTTAAGTTTATAGTTTCCTATATTTGTCTGTAATAGTGGATTTTTTTTAAGTTATGATTTTTTTTTTTGTCCACTGCAAACACAGTACTATGTCTCTTCAGGTGCTTTAGCTTAATGTTTTTTAAGGTGGTCCTTTTCCTACTGATTCTCTTTGCATATCCACTACCCCCACTCCCACCCCACCCCCATCTGTTACACCTTTCCCTTTGGAGTTTTGCTTATTAATTCCTTTTTCTTTCCTGCTTTTATCCGTTTGTTTAATTCTTCCCCTCTTTATCAAATATATTCCCTCTTTTCTTCCCGTTCACTAATCCTATTCATTAGTTGTTGTTGTTGTTTTTAATTTGATTTTTTGGTGTCCTTTTCCATAGAGGATTTCTCTCACTCCCTTCATTATCGATCTCCTGTCTACTCTAGACCCCCATACTCATGACCCCTATAGTTGTCTTTGTTGTTGTTTAGTTATTTTCAGTTGTTTATGACTGTGTGACCCCATTTGGGGTTTTCTTGACAAAAATACTGGATTGTTTTGTTGTTTCCTTCTCCAGCTCATTTTACAGGTGAAGAAACTGAGGCAAACAGGGTTAAGTGACTTGCCTGGGATCACACAGCTAGTAAATGTCCGAGGTCAGATTTGAACTCAGTTTTCCCGACTCCAGGCGTGGCGCTCTAGCTATACCACTGAGTCCCTCTGGGTTCTCTCCCCTCCCCCACCTCAGACAGTTTCTGCCACTACTTTATAGAGCTTGCTCTGTGCATTTCCCTTTTCCATTGCACCTCATTCCTAGAAAAATACCAATTCTTGGAGATGATAGAGAAGACATTGCCCCATGACAGGGAACACTCTCCACACCTTGTCCCTGATTATGTAGCCCCCCCTCCCCAGATCCATATACTCGCCCCTTTGTTACACTTTTCCCCCATTTGCCTCAAAATCTCCTCCCTGGGTCCATACCCTTCCACTCCCCTAGGTGCCAGTTGCCCCCAAAAGTTCCAGCCCCTCTCATCCTGAGGTCTTTTCAAGTACCAAATCCTCCAGACAACACCCAGAATGAGATCCCTTCACAAAACATCTCTATTCACTCATCAAAGCATTCATCAGTGGACCCCCTTCCCACCACCAAAACAAGGCCTCCCTCTTCCCCTCTTTTGCAAACCTCCCTTACTCCTCACCCATTCCCCTGAAGGCTCTTCTATTACTGAGGGATCTCAAGGGTCACATTCCCTTCATTGCTAACCCTCTTTCTGACTTAGCCACATCACACACTCCACTCTATCCCTCTACTCCCCCTTCCGTTTCATGTGGCTTCTCATTTTTGTTAGAACAGTTTCAAATGAAAACCAAAACAAAACATCGATTCACTTTAGGCAGGGTATTACAGAGTTCTGTCCATAATTCTCCAGGCCTACCTCTCCACTGTTACCTCCACCTGATTTCTACCTTCACTTATGTGTCTTTGTGTATGTTGAGAAAAAAATCTTACTGGTCTCTCTGCTTTCACTTTGTTGTTATGCTGTCTTTGGCTGCTAAATTCATTCACCCCTCTTATATTTCTGTTTTCTGGGGTGGTTGAGAAGCAAGTAATCTCTACAGGTCTGGTTTTATTTCTAAGAATCTTTGAAATGGCTCTTTATTATTGAATGTCCTTTTTTTTTTTCCATTTACAGTTAGACTCAGCTGTGCAAGTTGGTCACCCTGGGCTGAGTCTTGTGTTCCATTGCTCTTTAGAATACATTATTCCATTTTCTTCTGTTTTCTGGTGGGTGTAGCCTAGTCTTGTGTTATTCAAATTTTCTTTCCTTTATATTTG